GAGAAGGAGGGTCGGAGATGGCTGCTTGGTGACAGACAAGTGACAACTTGGTGACAGGACAGGGGCGACAGTAACGACGAGAGCAACGACATGAGGACATTGCAGTGTAAGGACATTCGTCGCTAAGCTTATTATGGATACGGGTCAGTGGTACGTTATGAGTTGGGAAAGGTGAAGAAGACCCCCAACCAAAGGTTGACATGTATGTTAGTGTTGACCGTCTGACTGACTAGTTAATCAGTTGCAGTGAGTGGGCCATGCCAGCATTCAATGAGATTGAGAAACACGGAAGCCCGGCGGAGCGGAGATCGTGTTTGGCGTTCATCAAACCATGTTGCAACTTATTGACTAGAGTGGCTCGGGCAAAGATTCAGTCTCCGCCCGTGCATTGATGCATGTCACGGTTGGTTAATGGTTATCATACATCTCCCTCTCTCCGCAGCAGACTGCAGGAAAGTGCTAACTTAGTGTGGCAATTCCCTGTCAGTAAACATCAACAGAAGCAGAAGCATCAGCCATCATCCAGCCATCACCTCTCAATCTCATTCTCACCCTAACCGGCTGCAAAGGGCGACTCTAGTGACTGTGTGGTAACTCCTGGCCACATATCCTCAATCAGCAACGTCACCTAACTCCTCTCCCCCTCCCACAGGCGTCACAACTCGCGCTGGGCTCTGGAGCGGGCCAAGCGGACCGTGCAGCGCCAGTTCGCCACTGTCGGCGTCCTGGAGAGCCTCAACACCACACTGGCCGTGGCAGAGACGCTGCTGCCGCGCTACTTCGCCGGCGCGTGGGACAGGTTCTTCATCGATCTCGTCGGACAGATCGGTAAGGGAACCGAAACTACATAACAGTTCTTTGCTGATCTCGTGAGCCAAATCAGTGAGGGAACAGCTAGTTCTTCATAAATGTCTTAAGCTAGATTGGTGAGGAAACAAATAGAGCTTCACATAGATCTCGTAGGGTAGGCCAAATCATTGAGGACACTCGCAGCTATGTCTCTGCATGCCTAGATACCTAACTCCAGGCCCAATTCAGGAAAACGAGACAGCTGAGCTTGTTTGATTTGCCGAGGCTAGCACACTGAGTGGGTGTGTTTTGTAAGACAAGTGGCTGCATTCCACTAGCGCTGAACATGAGAGACTAAGTCGAAATGCCGGATTGTCATGCTTTACGCTCGTGAAATGAAGAACATTTTTTCGGGAGTTTTGGAGATCATGCACTGTTGTCTGGACACTTCCGAGGTCATGCAACCCTCTGATACCGCTCAAAATCTGGAAACTATTCATGAGTCAGTGCTTGCCTTCAAAATGTCCCCTCTACCCAACCAACTCTGTGTGACTGTCTGGCGAGCTCTCCGCACCTTTACCTGGCACCCCTCAGCACACCAGCGCCACCTGCTAACTACTACTTTTGTCTTCTGCCGCCAGGTGACTCAATGATCCCGAGATCGCTGGACGAGCTCTCACCAAAGGCAAGGGAGGGTCTACGGGCGAACCTGACCACTGAATATGAGTTTTACGACTTCGTGAAGCAGCGAGTTGAGCAGCAGTACAATGCGTTTGTTCCCGGGTCATCGTCATGATCAAATATTGCTGGCTATAACTGCCATAATCCTCGAGATGAACCTAGGAAGAAGCCACGGGGCGTTCAATGCTGTGATGCAAATGTCTGATGGTGTTGCGTGGAAACCCTCGTGTTCCGGCTTGATTAAGTTCAAATAGCAATCGATGAACAGTAGAGACAGAAAAGTGTTGCGGAACGAATCGCGGAATTCGTTCAAGCGGGCGTTAGTTGGTGTCAGACTTCATCAGACATCAAGACCGGTAGGTATTGGCTGAAGTTAGGCATACCTACTTGATCCTTTGCTTGACACCCGTTCCCTTCAACGATTGTTGAGCAGCTCTGAGAAGTTCAGTAAAACACCATGTTGCATTCAATCTGAGCATAAGTGTTGAATACACGACTTTTCCATTGTGATTTGGGAGCCCGGTACATATTTTCCATCGTTTGCGGTTCGTAAATGTGTGGGCCGTAAAACACTACCGACCTCTCAAGCCAACGGCGAACCCTGAGCTCGAGATGACACATCACTTGCTACAAACTACGCCTCTACACGACTGTTACAACAACTCGAGACCAGAACAACGACTTCTGTTCTCAGCGGAAACACAAGCATCCGCTGTTATAACACAAGAAAGCATGCATTCACCTACGCCAGCCGTCAGCCATAGGGCTAAGGGCACGCTTTTCTTCTCCCAAGACAAGCTCCCAACCCACCACAATCACAACAAACATCTACTGTTCTCTGCTGGTCGCCCGTCAATCGACCCCTCCCCCTCCACTGCCATTAGTACCCCTCCCAGGGGGGGGGGGGGGTTGACACCTGGCGGGGGGCCACGCCTCGGGCCAACGGGCTCTGATGGATCATGTCGGTTTAGCTTACTGACGTGGTCCATCATTTAGCTGTGATGTATTGGAGGCCGAAGGTGGTTGTGAGAGAGGGACGATTGATGGGTGTTGTGACAGTATTTTATCACTGGGTGGATGGCAGAGGATCGTGATTTGTTGGTGCGGTTAAGCCTGCAATGTGTCACGCTTGATCCTGTGAATTAGAATAATGGTAGGAATTTCTCGTTTAAGCCGAACATTTCTGGGGCGCATTCGCGCATCCCACATCAGACTTGTCACTGAGAGCACAAGGTAACAATAATATCCAAGGTTTAAAAAAAATCAATTGTAGTTGATATGGCTTCAATCCACTTCAACTAAGCAATCCCTCGCACGTTATCGAGCTAACATCTCGCCGGCGCGTGTCCTCACAACACACACGTGTCCTCACAGCGCCCGATGCACCGGCCGTGAACCGCAGCAGCGAGCAGTCCGATCGCTCGACTTCACCGCACGTTGGCCCCCAGCCAGCTCCTCTGAACTCGGCTGTCTCGCCGCCAGTCCCACTGTGCGCTGTCAAACGGCGCGTGCGTCTGGGCGTGCGTGTGTGTGAGAGACCGAGTCCCTGGTTTGTGCCTGATTGTGCTATTCTCGTATCCAGTCTGGCACTCGTGGAATAGATCTATCAGAGTAGTGCAATCGGTGTGGTGGAAGGTAAAGCAGACCGCAAAACCTTCAAAAAGTGTGAGATTAAGTTGCTATTTCAAATATTTTCCTTTAAGCTTAACTTTGAAGATGATACATTTTCAAGGCATGTGATTTAGTAACGTAAGTTCCTGACAGAGTGATTATCGCCATTCCTCACTCCTCCAGTTTCGCTTATTTAATTGCCTCTTTCTCTTCCGTAACCAGTCTCTAGTTTCTACCTTGTTTCGCACCAAGCCCCTCGGCCAAGCCCCTTCCACCCCCTCGGCCCCTGGGTGGCACTGTCAGGTGCGGCTGCGACATGGATAAATCCCACCCTCCATTGATAAATTACAGCACGCTGGCAGCGTCACCATGTGATGACAGGACGGCATGGGAGCGAGGTGGCACCCAAATGACAGTGACAGCGCCAAAGCCGCTGTCCGTGGCATGGCTGGCCATCCCTGCCGACCTGGTCCCTACCGCCGCTCTATTTTGGATAAAACTGCGGTTGCTGGCGCCCCCGTCACCGCCGTCTCGAACACGGGGTAACGAATGGTGACGGCTGGTGCAGAGTGCCAGGTGGTGATCTCATCGTGATGGGCGCAAGGGTGACGTGTCGCCGTCACTTCCAGTCGTGTCACGGGCGGGGCTTCCAGTCTCATAATGTGTGTAGTCACGTCTGCGGTCCGGGGATTCGTCACTGGGGAGACGTAATGGGGCGCCAAGGTGGGGCGAAAATAGCGATGATGTGGCTTCAGAAACAGAGCGAGAGCGAACGTTATGAAAATAATGCATCTCCTTATTATGAAAATAAGCTTATGTCCCACCCGCCACTGGCAGCTTTTTTCGGTGGAGCCAACACGTCCTGTTGGCTCCACCGATAACCTCATAACACAAATATGTCCTTAAATAAAATAATCAGCAACTGAAAGCTTTACCTTCACTAGCTTTCACAATCGGAACGACCCTCGCTGCACACGTCAACTTGTATTGGCAGTTGCACGAAAGAGGAAGCAAGCCTCCCGCCGGGTACGTCCAAACGCCACAAGCCGCCCAACACAGCAGGACCACAGGCCCGGCCGGCCAGGCACCGGCACTCAGCCGGAACATGTTAGAAATTCTCCAGCACTGCCATTAAGCCATCACAGTCCACCCAACAAGCAGCTCTCCGAAATACGTCGGTATACGTCGGTAATTTGATAAAGTCCACCAATAGAAAAATCCAAAACCTAGGCGTTGCACGTGCACGTTGGTTTGTGCGCGTGCGCGGGTTCACTTCTTTTTGCCGGTGAGTCCCGCACCGGCGTTGAATTTGAAGTAAATGATGTCACCGTCCTCGACGACGTAGGTTTTACCTTGCTGTCGGTAGCCGCCGGCCGCCTGTCGAAAGAGACAGAACATCAGACAGGTCATCGGGTGGGTGCGGAAACCCGTACACCAAGGGCAATATGTGTCAGAAACGGTCAGCGTCACCGGGTCAACGGGTCAATACATCAGGGTCAGGCGGTCTACGAACGGTCACGGAAGGCACCAAAGGTCAATGCTAGTACAGTCAACAAACCGTAACCAAAGCCACAAAACAGCAGCATGTGCTAGCAATAAACAATACAGCATGACAAACTTCCTCATATTCTGATCGAGCAAAGGTCAGAACTGTCGAAACTTTCATAAGAAATGAAGACAAGAGCACAACAACCTGCGCTGCCCCTAACAATTTTCTCACTTGTTGATATATACCGTTCGGCTGCATATTGCTTTCCAAAGGCGTGACCACAAAATCAACCGCCGCGCTACTGATTCACAGGGTGATGTTCAAAAAGCCGTGAAGACTGCCGCAATAATGTGCGTCCCATAAATAACGAGAACAGAGCTCATCAGAGCTGGAACCGCTCTGTGCGTCGTACAGCGGTGGAGCGCAGACGATCGGTGACGTCTGCCCTCTAATTGGTCCCTGATGCAGACAGACGTCCTGTCAGACGACACGCAGCGCCATTCTCAAATTGGACAAATGGGGACCGATCGAACACAGGCACAGGCGAGCCGTGGTCTGCTGTGGCGGAGAGGAGAGGAGCGGGAAAGATGCAGACATCACCAGGACCAGTGGACGTCGAGCATCTTGCCTAGTATACAAAAAAGAGGGAAATAATGAATCACTTCTTCGACTTCACGTTATGTTACCATTAATGCGATTGGGAGTGCCTTGAACGCTTGATTTAACGCTAATCAAGAGTCGGCTTATCAGGAGCGTCACATTAGCCGCCGCGCTAGGTGCGACCTTCCAGAGCGCCGGGCCCGGTCAGACAGGGTCAGTAAACAATGACACCCTCTGTCGCACCCTGTTATCGTAAGCCTTTCTCAACAAACACAGGGACACCGGCCGTCATTCACTGCTGTTTGACAGTAAGGTGTTAGGAGACACAAGACAACAACACACACAACAGACGGACAGGCGTCCGCGACCCTACTTAGACGGTCGTCCAACGCCCTGCCAGTGCTTTCCCCTCACCCCCCACCCACACTCCACCGCCAGCCCCATAAAGTGCCCCCGCTCCCCCTCCCGTCGCATACCACACTTATCACCGAATGACGGGGCGCTATTTTGAGTAGCACAGCCTCGTTTCCCGGAGGATCATCCGACAAACCTGGCAGAAAGAGGCGCATCGGGGGCGCGCGAGGCAGCCCGGGCCCACGCACGTTCGGGAGGGGAGGGGGCTCTCGCCCACCCGGCTCTTGTCTGTGCCGGTAGACTGTGACTTCGACGAATCGATTACATCATATTACACAGCCCACGTCACACGAGAGTAGATATTAATAGACCGTATCCTTGTCAAAGACAAACAGACAGACCATGTAAATGAGACTCTTTAGGATCAAAACGGTTCGTGTTTAGATGAAAGATCAATAGTAGACGCCACGCTATTTTTGACCTGAATAAGGACATAAAGCTGAAAGAGGATAATAAACCAATCGCTATTTTCAGTTTAAGTATCGCCATAAAATGATACCTGAGATACAAATGTTACGAACTTTGATCAGAATGCGTCGTTACATCGTTCCAATAACTCTTTTACTACGTGATTAATATACTTGAGAGGAAAACCCCTTGGGAAAAAATGAAATAAAAGCCAGGCGATGTCATTGCGATTAATCGAACGACATAACACAAAAAGAACGCATTACACTTTAGTAGTATGCCAATAAGCAATGCTAAACCAAAACTCTGAATAAATAAACAGCCTCAGCTTGGTAGTCCCGTGGTATTCCCGACAGAACTGAGTTGGATCAGAGTGCAGACTTCGACAGAGCTTGCCAACAATCTGACTAGTACTCTCGGCCAGACAGACGCATACGCACTGACGCAGAACACGCGTTTCAGTGCACATCTGCAAAAAGCTGGGACTCGGGGCCAGATATTGAGGGCCGTGCAGCAAACACACCCGAGAGAGTCAGTCAGCCAAACGATAACGGTTCGCAGCTGGGAGAACTGACAGCGGCAGAAGAACGACAACAAGGCAGTCAGCAGCTCGTCGAGCGATTTTTTCGCAACAAGCCGTCGTAACAACATCGTTCTTTTCCCCAGCGTTCTTTCTAGAAGTTTGCAGGTTTTACGGACGCCAACAATTCACATTGCAGGCTCATAACAGCTTCGACCACGTCCTAATGACGTAAATTGTTCTAAGCCCCTGCCGCTTCCGAGACCTATCCTGGTCCCCGGCAAAAATCGGGAGCTGAGAAGATTCGAACCGAAACCTCACTACCGAGCGGACCGGGTCGGGTCCTCTTCCCACAATCTCCAGGAGATCTCAATGACGTCAATGCTATTTTGAAACAGCAGCGGCGCTTTTCCAATCAGCTGTCTACTGCCCATCAATCTGTCGAAGAACAGCCACACCTCGCAGCAA